CATAGTAGGAAAATGTGGCCTGTATGCATCTGTTTCACACACGACTATTGCGGTTATTCTCAGGTGTCTATCATTGGTGTGATCATTCTCCGTGCTTTCCTGCTAAAGCTAGCTTTTTGATAATTGACCTCAGCGCTTAAGGTAAATAGCATCAGTTGCTAATACTTCTGTTTTATTACATTTTCCTTTCAGTGCACAGTCCTGCACTCAGAAACACAACACAACAACACACACACACACACACACACACACACACACACACACACACACACACACACACACACACACACACACACACACACACACACTAATTCACGAACATTCTTACTATCCAGGATTATATAAGAAATACGTAAAAAACATATTTTTGAATCAACAAAACCTCTTCAAATAAACAGTCTCTCATCTTAATTGCAACATTCACATGATTTACAGTCATTCACATATATAGTATTAAGTAGATAAAATATCTATATAAGAGCTGAAGCATAACGTCATATGACACTTCCGGTCCAGTACATGAAGTAGTCAACAAAAGCTGTGCAATATGTACTCAAGCAGGCATATATCATCTATTGCCTATCATTCTGCAACGAGTGGCAGATCTGGAGCGATGTCAAGACAACCAGGGTGGCGCAGTCCATACTTACACTATGCAGGTATTTGTCAACACCCTGGAAATGAAGGTTGAAGTGTTCTCACATTCAGTCTCACATACAGCAGTGATTGATTTCATACACTCGGGTGAATGCATGTCACAGCTGATGTCTTTATAATACATAACATAATTTTAAGCATCATAATACAGCACAATCAGGACAAATTTGTAACAAATACAATAACAAAATATGTATAACTAAGAACATTTTTAAGGTGTATTGATATCATTAGATTGCAAGAAAAGTGTCATGTGTTATAGGAGTCAAGAAGCACTTGCTAGTGAGAAAGATGCGTTTCCATGGTAATATAAATTAATCTTATTATCATAACAAAATCAATTTCTGTTAATTCTACGAATCAATATTTCATACAGACTATTACAGTGTTATCCATTATTGTTAATTCTACAAATACTTCATACAGACTATTCAGTGCTTAAAGATATTAAGGAATATATTACATAGAAACTGTTCTTTTCACTCTTCGTGCAGTGAGTGAGATGACAGTGAAGAGAGCACTAGACACTGGACAGGTGCCAGAGGAAGCGTTGAGTATACAGGTTATACACACGTTGGATTAAGATTAATGCCTGTGTCACATACAATTTTCTATGTTTAAACAGTTTCGAAGACTCTCTTAGTTCACTACACGAGCATTACTATATACATTTTCATTAGTAATTTCAATGTAAAAAAAAAAAAAAAAATCAAATGGCCTACAAAATTAATGGCAGAATTATATTTTTAACGAATCTTTGCACCAACAGGAAGTTACCCCTCATTACCAGAATTAATGTATCGGATGTACTGTACCACCCTCGTCACGGTAAATATAATTAAAACTTTATAGAGCTGAGTTAATTGGTTATAGCATAACTGGCTATTAACGCACGACGGAATGGAATAAGTTATAAACTCTACGCTATTGTGAGTAAAAATCATGAAGTTGCACTGGATGTCCCTAGTATTACTGTACCACACCTCCCAAATGCTTGTAACTCTGTCACTATACATGTGGTATGTGCAAAGTATTTCCAACTGAATTTATTGTTTCTGTGGCATGTTAAAATGGGAAAGAAGTGTATTACAGTACGTTGAATAAGACAGTTATTCATTAGGAATATATACTGAGTTGTATGCCTTAGAATAAAATAATTTTAGCTGAATCATCAATAAGTACTTCCCATTTCAACATTACAGAAAAAGAATTTATTTTCATATACATGTTCACTAAAGTATAAATAGAACCTCAAATACTTTAAAATTCTAAATACATATATGAAAACTATCAGATTCTGTATGTAAAAAGGTTCAAGAAATTGCATGAACCATAAGCAATTAAAAAAGAAACATTCCGTGTAAACTAATTTTCTTGATGCAACACACCTAAACATTCCAACGATGCATGTCTGATACAAAACTTTACTTCAGAAATTGAAAGACATTCTTTTAATCACCTCTGACTTACAAAGTACATCCATGGTTCAACATGCGTTGAAGCCTTTAAAGTCATGACAATTATACATAAAAAAGGAAGGTATAAACATGTAATACAGAAGGTTTGAACAAGAAAAATTGGTCATTACATATATATACAAAAGTGAAGTTCATATGGTTTATAAAAGCAGTCAATGAAAAAAAAAAACATCCAATATCCAAATGAGTTATTATTAACCGTCTACCTTACTCTAAGCACAATAAAGGTAGTAGTAGATATAATGAAAATCATAGCATTCATTACAACATCAATGACCATCAATTAAATACTTATTGATAATGGCAAAGAACACAATAACTATAAATCATCAAACAAAAACATATCATGACGATATAAAAAAAACAAAAGCAGAAATACAAAAAAAAAAAAAAAAAAAAAAAAAAAAAATCGCACGCACATTAAAAGCAATGGAAAACACCAGCAATATTAATGACACCAAGCAGCAAACCGCACACCTTTAAGCACTGCCTTTGATTGGTTT